CACTGAGCCACACCCCAGCCCCTCACTGGGGGATTCTAGGCAGGTGCTCTACCACTGAGCCACACCCCAGCCCCTCACTGGGGGATTCTAGGCAGATGCTCTACCACTGAGCCACACCACCCCAGCCCCTCACTGGGGGATTCTAGGCAGGTGCTGTATGGCAGCATTTCTTCCTCTACAAAGTCCATGCAGGGTAAGAGCTTCCTTCCAGGCAGAGTGACCAGGATGGACAAAAGCTTCCCTTTGGAGAAGGTCAGAGTGCCCTAGGTAATCAGAGGCAAAGTCTCCCCCTCTTCATGGCTCTCCCATGTTCATGCAGAGCCCCAAGCCTGCTGCTTCTCAGGGGACACTCACCATACTTAGCAGCCTTAGCAGCAGCCTTTGCAGCAGCTGCTGCTGCGGGAGTCCCGGCGCCTAGGAAGACAGACAGGCCCAGAGGGTGAGGCTCTGCCCCCGTGGCTCCCCCGAAGACACCTCCACCCTCCAGCTGGGAGAAACATTACCTGCAATGCCTCCAATCCCGGGAATCGCTCCAGCACCACCAGGAATGCCAGCCCCTCCAACACCAGGGAGGACTCCAGCTCCTCCAGCACCTGCTGGGACAGAGGGGGCACCATGTGGCTCCCTGGAGCTGTTTCTGGGGCCAGAAAGGAAGGCTCCAGTGGTGCCAGCATGGTGTGTGTGTGTGTGTGTGTGTGTGTGTGTGTGTGTGTGTACGAGTGTACTTGTGTATGTACATGAGTGTCAAGGCCGAAGTTAATCTTGAGTACATTGCCTCCAGAATTTTTTCTTTTTCCCCTTTCTCACAGGTATGTACATGTATATGCATGTTTTTCCATGCATGCAGGAGCACATGCATGTGGGTGTTCATGCATCTGTCTGTGCATGCATGCAGAGGCCCAAGTTTGATGTCGGGGGATCATCCTTGATGATGTTTTACTTTATTCATCCGGGCAGACTCTCCCAATCAATATGGCTAGTCTTACAATGTGGCCTGACTCTGAGGAATTCTCCGTCTCTGCCTTCCTCGGCTGGAATTACAGGTGGGCCATTGCATCTGGCATCTCTGTGGGTTTCTGGCTGGGTGGGGAGATCCAAACTCCAGTCCTTATGCTTACAAAGCGAGCACTTTAACCACGGAGCCATCTTCCCAGGCCCCGTCTTGATTTCTGAGACAGGGTCTCTCACTTTTACCCGGACTGTGCCGGCTAGCCTGGCTGGCCAGTGAGTCCCAGGTACCCACCTGTCTCCACCACTCCGGCGCTCCCTCGCCTGCCTTTTTAATGTGGATTACGGGGCACGGGACTCAGGACCTCATGCTTGGGTAGCAAGCACTGTGCCGACTGAATTATCTCCCTAGGCCCCTTACTGACTGCTTTTGTGAGACAGGGTCTCAACTAGGTAGCCCAGGCCAGATCTCAATCCTGCTGCTTCAGCCTCCTGGTGGGATGCTGGCTTTTTACCCATCATCCTCTCACCCAGAAACAAGCCTCAGTATCTCCAGATGGGCTTGTTTGGGAAGGTTCCTACCCCAGAGTTCTTGGGTTTGCCCCCAAAGTGTCCGTTTTGACACGCTTATTAAGGGAGTCCAGTGTTCACAGACAAATCCCCTTCTAATCACGGCTACATACCGAGAAACCACAAGCTCCGTTCCTTGGGCCAGAGGGGCCCCCAAAGGAATGCCGAAGGCTTCCTTTCCCTGTGTTCCAAAGACTCAGCCAAATTCATAATCCAAGTGTCTGGCCGCCCGGCTCTGGCAGCCTCTCTCTCCAGGCTCTCCAGCTCCCATTTCCCAGCTATTCCCACCAAGCCCCGTTTGCCAAGGGGCCTCTCTCTGTGCCTGGAGAAAAGCCTGGGGCCCTCTACAGGGCAGGATCAGTTCTTCCTCTAACTTCTGCATCCCTCCCTTCAGCTGGTAGGGTCTTCTGTCCCCACTCCCCCTGACCTGGAAACAGGAAGGCCTCCTGGGTTGGGGAGAGAGGAGAGGACTCTGGCTCTAGTGAGCTGACCTCCATCTGAAGCAGGAAGAAGATGCCCACTCTGTCCACTGCAAGGACATGGAACTGCCACACCACACTCCCATATCCACAGCTAGGCTGTCCAAGGGATTGTGCGCTTGGGAAGGGTTATATTTTTGTAGTGTATGTGAAATAAATGTATAACATTAAAAAACTTTTATACAGGTACTGCCTATATTTCTCTCTCTAATCACCGTCACACTCATCCTTATGCTTGGGTGCCTCCTTCCTCTTTTATGTTTTGAGAAGGGCCAAAGGGCCTCATGTAGCTCAGGATAGCCTCAAACTTGTTATGTAGCGAAGGAAGGCTTCAAACTTCCAATCTGCCTGTCACCCTGCCCCTCCGCCCCCAAATGCTGAGTCTTGGTTCTTTCTCTCTGACCCACAGGGCAAACGCCACCTGTATGCTAAGGCCTTGAATGATGGGTTACTTCCTTCAAGATGTTTCCCTCACCCTCCCCAGGGAGAAATAATGGCTTGCGGCCCGTGTCCATACCCCTTGAGATGGGTGGGTGGAGAAAGGGGTGATGGGTGCAGGAAAGGAAGGATGTAGGAATGGAGAGAGGAAGGATCAGGGAGAGATAGAAGGAGGCATAGATGGAGGTGTGGGTGGAGGATGGAGAGTGGACCGAGGAGGGTGGGTGAATGGGTAAGAGAGATGGCGGGAGGGAGGAATGGGTGTGTATATGTGTGTGTAGTTAGGGAAGGGGCAGGTGTGGGAGGAAGATGGGTAGGGTTGATGGATGAATAGGAGATGGATGGAGGGACAAGGAAGAGAAGGGAAGATGGGTGGGTGGATGGACTGAAGGAGGGTGATGATGAAGGAAGGATGAGTGAGAGAAGAGTAGGGGACGGAGGGAGGGTGAAGGATGAATGGAGAGGAGTGATGAAGGAAGAGGTGGAAGGGAGAGGTGGAGGGATGGGTGGAGGTGGGATAAGGGAAAGAGGGAGGTGTGGAGCAATGGATAGAGAGAAGGAGGGATGAATGGGTGGAGAAGAGTGATTGAGGAACAGAGGGGTTGATGGGTGGGTAGGGTATGGATGGATGAAGGAAGGGACGGAGATATGGATGGATAGATAGATAGAGGGATGGAAGGAAGGAGAGGGAGAGCATTACGTATGGGTCATGTTGAAAAGGGTGATAAGAAGGAGACACAGAAACCATCTGGCTTGTTTTTCTTCTAACCATCACAGGATGGGGGAGTTGGGGGCCTGGAGGCTGGCAAGGGTATCTAGAAAACTCACCATACTTCGCTGCTTTAGCTGCTGCTGCCGCTGCCTGGGATCCGACCCCTGGAAGAGGGGAGGTGAGAGGACCCTAAGCATGGTGCTGGTGTCCAGGTATCTCCAGAGTCCCACGCTCCCAGTCCCACAGACTCCCAGATGTAGCTGGGCCTTCTTAGCCAGTAAAGGCCAAAGAGCTGTTCCAACCCAGATCAGAGTCTAGGCTTGGCCCAAGGTCTTCATGCTGGATGGGTAAGCTTGTGTTTTGGATAGTTCCTGGCACTGGGGGGCGGGGCGGTATTGGTGTCCCTTTGGCTGGAAGCAGGTGAGATTCCCACCCCCTTACCTGTCCCTGTTGGGTAGCCAGCCTTGCCGCCTGCACCAGCCACTCCTGTGAAGAAGATGCTTGGTTGTCACTCACACAGACCTCGACACTCTGCCCTCCCCTGTTCCACTAAGCTGGAGTCTCCTCCCGTCACCTCCAACAGAAGCGTATACAGATACAAAAATGCATAGGGGACACCATCCCATTTTACAGACAAAGATATTGAGTCTTAGACAAGGGATAATGGCTGGCTCAAGGAGTTGTGATAAGCAAGAGGGCCAGGACTGGATGCTGGGCCAAGTCCTCTGTATCAGTCTTTGTTCTTTGAGAATTTTTATTCTGGCACCTTGCCCCTTCTCCAGTCCAGCTGGGCACTCTCTTGGCCCTTAGCTGGGGTCTCAGTACCCTTGCCAGGCCCATAGAGCTGGAAAGGCTCAGAACACCACAAATCCATGGGGGTCTTACTTACCATAGGGCAACTTCCCATTGGTGTAGGGAAGTCCATAGCCACCTGTGGACAGAGCAAGGGATGGGTGGAGTGAAGAATCAGTGTGCGGATGGAAAGTGAGAGGAGACACAGGGGTGGGAGGAAGGGGTAGGTAGAGTATGTGGGTGGATTGAGGGATGGATGTATAATGCAGGAGAGGAGGGTGGATGGAGTTATGAATTGGTATCGGGAAGAAGTGATGGATGGGTGAATGGAAAGGCATAGGCAGGATAATGGAGAGATAAATGGGTAGGAGAGGTGATGAATCCCCAGGGAAGAATGGGTGGAGAGAAAGGGTGATGGATGGATGGATGGATGGATGGATGGACGGACGGATGGCCAAATGGATGGACAAATGGACAGATGGACGGATGGATGGATGGATGGACAGATGGGCGGACAGATGGGCGGATGGATGGAGAGACAGATGGACGGATGGATGGACGGACGGATGGATGGATGGATGGATGGACAGATGGATGAATGGATGGATGGACAGATGGACAGATGGATGGATGGATAGATGGAGGGAAGGAGGGATAGATGGTGAGGAAGGGGTGATAGAGAGATGGGGGAGACGCCTTGCTCATCTCCCATCTACCTGAATGGACAGACCTCCCCCCTCCACAGGAGCTGTAACACCCTCTTGAGGATCATCAGCTGTTGTCTATCAGGTAGAGCAGGAAGAAGACACCCGCTCCTTTCCAAACCTCAGTCCCAGCGTGGTCCCTGGGATCTGAGTGTCCACCTTGTGCGCATGCTCCCCACAGGGGCGGCTGTCTGGACTGACGGCTGTGGCAGAGGTGCCGGATAGCTAGACATAGTAGCTGCAGTGTGACTAGGGTGGGTTTCCCCTTCTCTTCTCCATTCTTTCTTGATTTTGTAACTCACTAGTAGCCCAGGCTAGCCTTGAAACCACATAATCCTCCTGTTTCCAGCTTCCAGAGTGCTGGGGTTACATCCTAGTCCAACCATGCCTGGCTTTAAGTGGTAAGTCTTGTAATTTGTGTGTGTGTGTGTGTGTGTGTGTGTGTGTGTGTGTGTGTGTGTGTGTGTGTGTGTGTGTAGGCATGGATACCACTGTGTGCAAGTGGAGTTCCTATGACAACCTCAGGTATGGGTCCTCACCTTCCTCTTATTTAAGGAAGGGTCTTTGTTGTTTGCTGTTGTGTACAGTAGGGTCGCTGGCCCATGAGCTTTCAGAGTCTCCTGCCTCTGCCCCCATCTCATCATAGGAGTTCTGGGATGACAGATACACGCTGCTGCAGCTAGCTGTATGTGGGTTCTAGGGATTAGAACTCAGGTCTTCACACTTGTGCAGGAAGAGCTTACCCACCGACCCGTCTCCCTCCACCCCGACCAAGCCTCTTGAAACCTAACTCCGGCTTACCTGGCAGCTTCGGGGCTTTGATGGGGTAACCCAGGGGGACACCAGGCTGCTGTCCCCCAAAGGGCCCGACACCTGCAAGGACAGAGAGAGTGAACCAAAGCCCTGGGCTCCCGTGGCGGCTTCTTCTCACCCCCTGCCCATCAGCCCACTCTGCTCACGTGGAGTGAATTCATTCCCCATGGCACTCTGGAACTGTCCTGCCTAGAGGGGCCTCCCTGTCTCTCTGTCAGGGGTCTGAGAAGCACTCCCCAGTGATACTGACTGGTGGGAGTCGAGAGACACGCCCTACACTCATCTGCGCTGACCTTAGGCAGGGCTGGGTGTCTCGGTTCCTTTTGGATCCACATTGATGGAGATTGGGTTAGAGCAGTGGTTCTCAACCTTCCTAACGCTGCGACCCTTTAGCACAGTTCCTCATGTTGTGGTGACTCCCCCCCCCCCACACCATCATAAAATTATTTTCGTCGCTACTTCATAACTATATTTTTGCTGCCGTTATGAATCAGAACACAAATACTGATATGCAGGACATCTGATAAGTGACCCCTGTGAAAGTGTCATTCAGCCCCCAGAGGGGTCACAACCCACAGGTTGAGAACCACTGGGTTAGGCGACCATGGCCTGGGACTGATGGCACTTTGGGCAGAAGCCTGGCTTTTGATGCTTTTTCTTTTTTTAATTTTCAGAACGTGGGTTCTGGGGATTGAGCTTAGGTCCTCAGACTTGTATGTGAGAAGCACTTCCCCAAGCCTTGCAGTGACAGAGATGAAGGAGATGGAGCAGGTATGGCTAGGCTTCCGGGTGTCTAGCTCACTCAGGGAGAGCAGCTTCAGCTCACCTGGGATTCCGGCAAAAGCACCACCTCCACCTGCAAAGACAAAGAGCTGTCACTGCGGCCCAGGGCTGAGTGTGCAGGGCTTCTTTTGTTTATGCTGGACAAGAGATCTACCACTGAGCCACACCCCCAGCCCCTCACTGGGGGATTCTAGGCAGGTGCTCTACCACTGAGCCACCCCAGCCCCTCACTGGGGGATTCTAGGCAGGTGCTCTACCACTGAGCCACACCCC